GAATAGCAGAGAACAGTGCATGCATATCCCAGGAGCCTGGGGCCAGGCTGCCCCTAAGGTGCACAATAGCCTCCCTCCTGCAGTGTGGGGGATGTTTCTCCATGAAGTTCCCCTCCCTGCACAACAGCTTCCCAGTGGTAACCTGACAAAAGGATCTCTGGAAGACAGGAAAACAGAATGGGGAGGAGCACCATGTCTGGAAGGGCCCCTGCTGGGAGGTCCAGGGTGGGTAGAGTTGACCAGTGAAGGTGTCAGGAGGGAAGAGACACTGACACAGATGGCAGAGATGTGCTGGGAGAGAATCTAAGAGAAGAAGGAAAGGAGCATCATCAGAGGGGAACACTGGGGGTGCCATCCTGGAGGGTGACCCAAGCTGCCCTGCCCAGTGGTGCCTGTGCTGCCTGGTGTCTGACTCGGGAAACTCTTCACAGCTTTCATCACAAGGCTGTGCTCTGGGGAGGGAGGGCTGTGGTTGGGAACTTGTTATTTATTTTGTGAAAGTTCTGACCTTGTGAAATGAGGCAGCATTGAGTGGATTATGTTGTCCATCATGTTGACAGAGAAGGTAGATGAATCATTAACTAAGAAGATGGCCACAGGGAGACATGAGCCCTGAAATGACAGAGGATGGCAGGCTCTGGAAGAGAGCTGCTAATGGGAAGGGAGACGGGCTTGGGTTTACAGTGAAGAGGTCATGTTGAACCAACAGAACTAGGTTGGCAATGATTTCTTGTGGTTTAGATCTAGAATATCCCCAAAGTCTCCTGTGTTTAGAGGTGGACTTTGGGGGAAATCATTGAACCATGAAAGCTCTGGGATTAATCCATCCATGGCTGCATGGACTACTGACTGGGAAATGGGACCTAGGCAGAGGAAGCAGGTCACCAGTGGTGTGTCTGGAAGGGTTCATCTTCTCTCAGTTCCTTTCACCCTCTCTGCTCCTCAGCTGCTGTGGGCTGAGCAGCTTTCCTCCACCGACCCCTTCCACTGTGATGTTCTGCCTCACCTCAGGCCCAGAGCAACAAAGCTGCTGAACGTGGACTCAATCCTCTGATACCATGAGCCAAAATAAATCCTTTCTTCTCTAAGTTGTTTTTGTCAGGTACCTTGGTCATAGCATGGAAGAGCTGACTAACCCATAGTTCATTGGTTAAGAAATAAAAGTTCAAGATCACACAGCAAAAGTGGAGCTGGAGTGTACACTATTTAATTTTAGAATTAAAATTAGAGAAGAAAATAGCCAAAGGAAAAACCAACCAGAGATGGAGATTATTTTTTTCTGATTTGTTTTGCGGTGTTAGTGAGCTTATTCTGAGGAGTAGGGATGAATGTGGCCAAGAGGGTTAGAACCTTACAAACCTAACCCTGTCTGTAAGTAAGAGGAAACATGTCAGAGAAGACAGAGGTAGCCAAGAAGGATGGAGAGCAGAGGGATGCACTGAGGAATAACTGTATACATATGGCAATATAATTGACTTACAATGAAGTGCACATACTTAAGAGTATATGGGATTACACCATGAACTCATCCCACAATCAAGATGGTGAACATCCAAGTTCTCATGCCCTTTTGTAATCAATTCTTCCTGCACCGCCCTATACCATTGAAAGTGTTGCCAGATCTGCTGAAGGACTCCCAGCCTTCCTCGGTACACTTTCTGTCTCTCCATAGTCCCCTTTTGTGTGCTTTTAGTCACAATACGTTAGTTTCAATTTTCTAAAATTTTAAATAAATTTTAAGTACTGCTAGCAGGTTCCTCTATTTTTGTCAGATTCAACCAAGGATCTGAGTCTCAGTCACTCACAGCAGTTGGGCTTCAGCCAATCACACATGGTACCTCATAAGGCAAAGGCCAGCCGCAGCCACTCGGGTTGTTTCTGTAGGTCACTTCATTTTCTCTGTTTATAAATAAAACCTGTACCTGGGGGAGGGCATTCTGCTCATCTTGTTATGGGCTGCTGTCAGGGTCTGGATCCCCTCTGCTCTTGGAAATAAGTGATTAATATAAATGGTCTCAGGTTGTTTTTTTTTTTTTTTAACAGTTTCCAATGGATATTGTAACAAATTCTCACAAGCTGCAAGGCCTAAACTATACAAAAAATGTTCTCACATTTTCTAGAGGTCAGATGTCTGAAATAAAGGTGACAGCAATTTTGTCCCCCTCTGCAGACTCTGAGGGAGAAGCCGCTCCACGCCTCTCTCCCAGGCTCTCACAGCAGTCCTTGGTGTTCCTGGGCTTGGAGCTGCATCAGTACAGACTGAAGGAAATGGACAGTGGAAAAGGAAGCAAAGAGGAGCCAAGGGAGGAAGGGGAAGAGAACGGGGAATGAGAAGATTAGGTGGAAGACACCAGAAAGTGTTAAGGGCAGGTGAGGAGGACTTTCCACCTCAGCCTTTAAAAATTGCAATTTTCAGTTGCTTTTTGACAGTTTATTCCAACACAAATTTAAATTTGGTCAGAAAGTGATCTCTGTCTTACAGAAAACTCATTGCCCAGGCCACTGCAAGTCCTTGTAACTGTCACTCCGTGACTGAGCACCAGAGAGTACACTGTCCAGCACAGAGTGACCTCCCTGGGGCTGGAAGGACTGCAGTCCTAGGTACACAGCCTCCACAGTTCTCAGGAGACTTTCCACAGAAGAAACTGAGCCCAGCCTTTTAACCTCCCCCTGTCCACATCACAGAGAGAGCCCACTGTCCTGTACCTCTGTCTTCTTTGGGAGAACTTCTGGGAAAGGTTTTCTGTAGCTACTGTCTCCATTTTCTCACTTCTCACTTCTCCTCCACCCACTCTAGTCAGGCTGCCTCTGTCCCTGCGATTCCACTGCAGCTGACCTGTCCAGATCACCAGTGTCCAAGTTTCCAATTCAGTCTTCCCTCTTCAGTGCTCACACTCCTCTCTTGGATTCATGAGGCCATGCTGTCTGTCCTGAGTACCCCGGACTCCACTGTCGCAGCCTCCTCAGCCTCCTTGGCTGGCCCCACTCAGCTTCCCTTCTCCTCCTTACTGCCCTCCCCACAGGCCATCTCCTCAGTCTGCCACCATCCTCCAGAGTTTGGCCTCCAATGTTAGGTTCCAGAGACCTTTTAGTTTCTGTCTTGCTCTCTCTTCGGACATTAGTGTCACAAGGACAGTCAAGAGCCCTAAAGAAGAGCAGACATATCAAGGAACTGAGATCTGGTGCCACCTTCCAGGGAGGAACTGAGGACTCAGCCAACACCTGAGTGAGGGGGCATGTCTGAAGTGGACCACCAACAATTAATCCTTCAGGTGATGACAGTATCTGAATTAAACTGACTGCAGCCTCCTGAGACATCCTGATGCTGAATCTCCCACTAAATTGCTCCCAGATTCCTGACTTTCATTCACAGATTGTGAGCATAGTAAATGCTTGTTGCTTTAAACCAGTAAACTTGGTGGCAATCTCTGCAGCAATAGATGGCTAGCACACTCATGCCCACCTCTCTGACCTCATCTTTCAGTGCTTCCTCTCCTCATCCTACAACACCGACCTTCCTTCTTCCTGGTTTGAAAAACTCCATACTTGTTCCTGACCAAGTTCCCTGCCTTCATCTTCCTTCTGGCTGGGGTTGTCTTAGCCTGGATCTTCACATGTTAGCTTCTTCTCTTGTTCAGGATTTGTTTTTTTATGATAGCCTCTATGCCTAAAGCAATTCGGGGAACACAATGAGTGATCTGTAAATATTAAGTAAAATAATAAATGAAATTAAGTAGATATCATTTAGTGGAAACATAATCCTTGAGAAGATTCTACCAATTTCTGCAGTTAATTCTGAATATTTTTCTAGTAGTTACCTTTTGTTGGCTTGTTGACTTACAATATTGCAACTGGACTAAAGGTTCCCAAGGACAGATGGAGTCAAACACAGCTAAAGAGTTCAGAGGAAAGTTGAACAAAAGTTGTGTGAGAAACTTCAAAGACCCAATGTATCCAAGTCTACAAAGATTATAAAGTTGTGCTGATTCATCCTGCCCCATCTAAGTGCAAGAATACACTTACAAGTGCAAGACTCATATTAGGAGTTGTGGGAAATGCATCACAGAAACATGTGCCAGTATATTTCCATATTCCAGTGTGCTTAGAAGTTCAGAGTGGCTGCTTTTTTGACGCACGGGTTGCTGTTAGCATAAGTCACAAAATGTTCTGAGTTCTGTAAATCTACAGAAAATTTGCCGATTAGAAAGTCTTATGTTCTTATATTTTTAGTTACTTTTCTCAGGAAAAGCTCTGATGCAGAGGCCTTTAAGTCCTCATGCACTGGGTTCTGAACAATTATTGCATTCAGTCTGGCAAGGCAGTGCCAAGTCTCAGTAACTGGGGTTACTGAGACTTGGCACAGCTGGAATAACAAGGCGTGGCTCCAGGAGTAGGCGACACCCACTGGGGTTGAGTTACACTCACCTATTCCTTTGTAATCCTACCCCTTTGCCCTTTTGGGGATAAAATATTCAATGGACCAGCCTCCCCCAATAAAACCCCGGGTTTGAGGCATGCTCTCTTTATTGCCTCCTTTGTGAGAGAAGAGTCAAAGGAGCCATTGGCGGAACCCAAAGAAAAAGGTATTTCTCTATCTCTGTGTGATCATTTTGTGCCAGCTCAGTACACCTGGAGTGGTCCTGACTGGTTTAGCCATGTGTTGTAACACAACTTATTCTTCAGTTTTTAGGATATACAAGGCCACTTTCCCCCAGAGAACAGGGGAGATGGAGAAATGCATCTTTCCCCTGGAGGACACAGGGTGATAACATTCTCTGGAGAACAGTTTTTAAATTTATTAGGTGGCCTCAGACAGAGTTGTGTTCCTAGCAAAGCTAACATGAGACTAGTCAAGAGTTGGCTGACTGTGTGAATTCCAAAATTAGTGATTTATTTTAAAAGCCAACTAAGAACAAGTGAAGTAAGGTTTTCTTTAGGTTTTGCCATAGTAACAGTTTCTTTCACTCACTCATATTTAGGAAAACCCAGACACTGCTATCATGGCAGGGAAACCCATTCTTCACTACTTTGATGGACGGGGCAGAATGGAGAACATTCGATGGCTCTTGGCTGCAGCTGGCGTAGAGGTAAGTTCTGAGTTAGATCATTTCAGTTTGGATCATTTTAAGTTATTAGATACTTTTCTCACATAAGCTAAGTGATGTTTCTTAGATACCATGTCAAGAATTGTGTCCTAAACAACACTGCCAATAATTAAGATACAAACTTAACTAAATTGTCAGGATTCTCATCAAGGAAGATAAACATTAATGTAAGAAATATACCACAATTGGTGGACTTTATTTGGATTTAAGTTTAAACACTATAGAACATAATTTATAAGAATTAGAAACATGATTACTAATTGAATATTGCTGATAGTTATTATTAGTGTTTTTGGTGAGATAATATAGTTATTTTTAAACAGTTTCTGTATTTTAGAGAAACTAATTGAACTATTTAAGAACGAAAGAGAGTCATGTGTCATTAACAATGAGGACTCAGTCTGAGAAACATGTCATTAGAAAATTTCATTGTGCAAACATTATAGATTGTACCAACACAAAACCCCGGGGTGGGGGTAGCCTCCTATATTCCTTGGCTACATTCTGTGGTCTGTTGATGGTAAGCCACACACCTGTGTGACATGATAGTGTACTGAATATTGTAGGTGATGGTAACACAATTATAAGCATTTGTGTATCTAAACACAAAAGAAGCACAGAAAAACATGGTACAAAAGAGGAAATATGAGACACCTATATGCAGCACTGAATCAGTTCTCAGGTCTGACAATTGCTCCAAGTGAGTCAGTGAGTGAGTGGTGAGTGAAAGTGAAGGCCCAGGTCACTACCCAATGATACAATTTGGATGTGAAAAGTTCTCAAAGGGTGTGTCCCTACCCTGAGGCAGCACTGGGTGTAGTGGAACTGTTTAGAGGTGGGGCCTAGTGGGAGGAGTTCTGTGGCTGAGGGCTTGCTTTTGAGGGGGGTGTGGGAATGCAGCCCCTGTGTCTCTCTTGGTTTCCTGACAGCCAAGAGGTAAGTGGTTTGCTCCCCCACGTGCTGCCTGCCATGATGTTCTGCCTTGTCACCAAGCAACAGGGCCAAATGACCAGGGACCAAAACCTCTGAAACAGAGATAACCAAAATTAACCTGTCCCTCTTTAAAGCTGATTATGTTAGGTGTTTCTTAAGATAATGAAAAGTTGATTTAGCACAATGCACACTTTAAGAATCTGCACACACAGGCTGCACTCAATTTATTAAAATGTTTTCCTTCCTCAATAATAAATGAACTTCAGTTTACTGTAAAATTTTTACTTTACAAACTTTTATTTTTTTAACTTTTTGACTCTTGTGTAATACTTAAAATGAAAACATTGTATAGATGTGTAAAATATTTTTAATCCTTGGTCTCTAAGCTTTTTCCATTTTTTGTTTTTATTTAATTTTATTTTTTTAAAACTCTTTCATTAAAAGTTAAGAAGCAAACACAAGTTCAGAATCAACAATATCACTGTCTTCTTCCTCCCCATCGTGTATCACTGGAAGGTTTTGGGGCAGAAACATGCATGGATCTGTCACCCGCTATGATCACAGTGCCTTCTCCTGATCTAGCTGCTAAGGATCATTCTGATGCGTGCAATGAGGAGGCATCACTGTTCAGAATTATGTGCATGGTTGATTGCTTGTTTTGCTTTTTGTTCATTGACAAATACATAACTTATGTATAAATATATAATTTACTTGGGAGCAGATAATGTACCATGAAAAATTCTTACTATTAATGAGAAATTTGTCGTTTGGAGTATGTTTTCAACTTTTAAAAAATTTGTTTTTAATACAGGCAATTCTCAGTGATTGTAATTCTATATTATTTAAACCCATTAGCTGAAATTTATAGAATTTTTTTAATATTTATTTTTTTAGTTTTTAGGTGGACACAATACCTTTACTTTATTTTTATGTGGTGCTGAGGATGGAACCCAGTTTCTCATGCGTGCTAGGCGAGTGCTCTATCACTAAGCCACAACCCCATCCCCACAATTTTTAATTTTTTTACAGTGCTAGGGATTGATCCCAGGACAGTGTGTATGACAGGCAAGTGCTCTACCACTGAGCTACACTTGCAGCCCTTGTGTTTTCAATATTTTGAAGGATCTTATGGAAGTCTTCAAAGGCTTCTACTAAATGCTTCACTGAATTTTGTTCACTGATGTATTCACTGATCAATGGGAAATTTTCCATTCTTTTATAATCTTATGGCACCATCTTTGTGTACAAAGTTAGTGATTGACTGAGACATTGTTATGGGGCACATGACTGTGCATGAAATCCATGACAGGACTTCCGTTAAACTATTACCAGACAAGAAGAGTGAGTGGGCACCTGGATGAAAGCCTGTTACTACCAGTTGATAATTGTTGAAATTGGTGAGGGATAAAGGAGCAACAATATACACAGTTGTTTATTTTTATGCATGTCAGAAATTCGTATTAAAAAAGATCTAAACTCTACCATATAAGAAAATGAATGCAATTATACTGAAAAATTTTACTAAAAATACACACCACAATTGTGAGGTGGGCAGGAGAGAGGAGACAGTAACAAACTGCCTATTAACTATGGAACTCGTCATTCAACATAACTGTGTGGGCACCTGTAAAGAACCAGGTTTTGTAGTAGGTCCTGGGGATACACAGTGAACTAGACAGATGAGGTCCGTGCCCTTGAGCAGCCCACACATCTGTGATGGATGGGATCAAGCATTTTTCAAGGTTGTGACCCATGCATTTTTCCTAATAGATGTACTATAAATTTCCAGATAGCCTTGACCAGACTCTTTGATAAATATGTCCAATCTTGAAAATCTTACCCCCTTCATACCATACGTAGACAGGAATAATTCAAGCTGACAAGCATGAAAGGCGATTGAGTGAACTAATCAGGACTCATTTACTGTTTCTGCTCTCCAGTTTGAAGAGAAAATCATGAAAACTCGAGAAGACTTGGAAAAGTTAAGAAAAGGTAAGAACAAATATCGTAATACCTCTCAAGAGGGTTCCTAGTGGAAGACTGAAACACCAGACAACACTCTTGTATCTGTGAGGATGGCAGTGCTGACAGAGGAGGGGTAGAGAGTGGTTAAAATGTGAGACCTGGCAACTCTCTGGGGACTCAAGAGTGAGACCTTTGTGAGTCCTTGCTAAGGAACAAACTCAGGGCCCCTTGCATGCCCTCTCCTTGCCTTCTTCATACGCTGAATGGAATTGGCTCCTGACCAATCGCAGCCTCTCCAACTTTTTATAAAATATCCCTGAAGATGAGCTAAACTCACAAATATTCAGGGACACACAATGTGTATGGATGGCTGGGAAATTAAAACAGCTGTGAGATAAGAGGTTAAAAGTAAAGAAGTTGGATAAGGAAAAGAAGAAACAAAAACTAAAAATAAATTGGTGTCTTATTGAAAATTTACCAAGTGATAATTTTTTCCTCTTGTATCTTCAGTTATTTCCACAACTGTTTTACATTGTGGACATGTGCGATCACATTTCATTCTGTTTGTTTTCTCCTTCCACAAGATGGGAGTTTGATGTTCCAGCAGGTGCCCATGGTGGAGATCGATGGGATGAAGTTGGTGCAGACCAGAGCCATTCTCAACTACATTGCTGCCAAACACAACCTCTATGGGAAGGACATAAAGGAGAGAGCCCTGTATGGCATATTTTCTATTTTTGCAGATAACACAAGAAGCGTTTAGGTCATTCCTTGAGTGGGAAAAACCAAGGCAGGGAGATCCTGTGGAGTACCAGGCTGACTCTGGGCATAAACACTGAGGACAGTATGGGAGAGTGCTGTGGAGATGCAGGAAGAGTAAGCATGGAGTGGATTCAGGGCAGTGTCATGTAGAGAGGATGAGGTTCATGGAGGCTTGCAAATCCTGAGAACTATGAATTCAGGAAGATGGTGGAATCCTGATTCCATTTGCTTAGCTTAGAGGTTAAACTATGCAATAACTTGGGATAGGGGAAGAGTTTGAGTGTCTAGACTTGAAGGCCTGGGAAGGAAGGGTCTAAAGCACTTGATTTTCCATTTCCAGAAAATACAAAACTGACAGGCAGGAACCTAAGCTACCCTCTTCTTCTACAGATAGGTCAAGTTGATGATGGCTGATGGAGTCTGGTGTCAAGACATGAAGGTGACACAAAGCATTTCAGGTAGACTTGAAGAAGCCCACTGATTCAGCACTGGGGTTTAGGTCTCCTCCCTCCTAGGCTGGAACTACTTTATTGAAAATAACATCTTGAATGGATCTGTGGAAAGTTCCTCAAAAATTTTAGAGTTAGCATTACCCCAGCAATTCCAGAACTATGGATATACCCAAGAGGAATAAAAATACATCCTGAGTGGCATTTGTACATGAATATTCACAGCTGCATTGTTCATAATACCCAAGTAGTGTAAATAAACTAAAAATCCAATGGATGAATGGATAAAGAAAATTTCTTTGGTCATATAATGGAATCATATTTGATATCCAAAGAGATGCATGTAGCAACATGGATGGACCTTGACAACATTATATCACATTAAAGAAAACAGACTCCAATCACATTTTGTATGTTTCTCTAGCATGGTGAAGAATACTCATGTCTACAGGGATGTAAAGTGGATTAGTATTTTCTGGAGCTATTGGGAGAGGTGGTATACATGTTTGTTAATCTACCCAGCATGGTTAAGATATTCTGGAACTGGAGAATATTAATATTTGCAGAATTCTGTGAGTATACTAAAAAAATCACTGAATAGTAAACTTTAATTGGGTGACAACTATGGTGTGAAATTTGTCAATAAAATTGCTTTTTAAAAAGAATTTTGAAAAACCCATTTGAAGCAAAAGAAATGAAGCTTTCCTATGTCATGAACTTACTGTAACTATATGAAGAATTGCAGCAAGTAGAGGACTTTCTTAGGTGGAGAAAGCAAGAATGCAATCATGACAACATTATATCACATTAAGATGCAGATGTCAGTGCAGTTCACTCCTGGATAATGCAGCATATATTTCAGATCATCATGCTGAAAGCCAATGTCACAAAAGATTGATGATTCAAAGTCACTTTAGATCCTAGACCCATAACCAGGACATTAAGAAATCAGACAAGAGGAAAAACAGCATTCGGCAACAGTATATGGAACGGATTAGGGAACATGAATTATGGGAAATAATTGGGAGCCCTTTATTTCTAACATTGAACATGGAATGATTCTGAGCTATATAACAGAAACAATGAAGAACAGGGACTTGTCTGAGGGGCTGGGCCAGGGACTCTGTCTTGAGTTTACCTAGGAGGCAAGTGCTTAGCCACAGGAATCACAATATATTTGTGTCCAGAACAAGGCACAGCACAGAGAGCATAGCCTATATGTACTACCAGTGTTTGTAGATACCAAGTTCTCTAAAGTCCTTAACTTGTGATGGCCCAGTATGCTCTTTGGAACTGTATGTGGTCATGTATATAACAAAAATTTAGACATGCATTCCCTGTAGGTTGCTCCAAGAAATAAATGTTAATCTATAAATAAAACCCAGAAGATTGTAACTGGATTTTGAAGAGTCCCTACTAGAGGAGAATTAATTTGCTCCTATTTGATGCTCTATTCTCTTGTGTTTCAAAACTATAAAATGTGGGTCAGAAAAAAATGTGGGGCAGAAGGCTTTTGACAGAGTGTTTGTGTTTTGTTTTGTTTTTTCCAGAATTGATATGTATTCAGAAGGGATGGCAGATTTGAATGAATTGGTCCTTCTTTACCCATACCTTCCACCTAGTGACAAAGGTGGAAGACTTACCCAGATCAAAGAGAAATCGAGAAACCGTTATTTTCCTGCCTTTGAGAAGGTAAGTGGAATTGGTTTCACCTATAGGGCACCCTCTAAATTGAAGATTGACAGGGTGAAGCTGGGTCAGCCTTGTGTCCTTCTCAACTATATTGCCACCAATACAACCTCTATGGGAAGGACATTAGGAAAGATACGGTATTATTTTCTATTCTTATTATCAACAGGGGAAGGATGTAGGTTATACCTTGAGTGAGAAGGACCAGGCAGGGAGATCATGACCAGCATCAGGCTGGGCCTGAGCACAAACACTGGCTTTGTCTTTATTTGGGTGAGGCTTGCCTATTGATGGGACAGTCCAGTGGAAATGAGGGAAGATTCATATAGAACAGGATGCAGTTCATGAATACAGCACAGCGACGGAGTTTAGAGGGAATCTTAGTCCTAACAGGTTATCTTAGCCCTTAGGACTACTATATGAATAATGCCATAGAGGGAGGTTTATGCAAAAAATATATATTTCTCATAGTTCTGGAGACTGAGAAGTGACAGATCAAGGACATGGTGGATTGATATCTGGAAAGCTTTGCTTCTTGCTTCATGAATGGCTGATTTTGGGCTGTGTTCTCCTATGGCAGATGGGTCCAAGGTCTCATTATAAGGACAGTAGTGCCATTTTTTGCAAACTCTTCCCACAGGACCTAATTATGTCCCAAAAGCCCCACCTAACAGCATTGAGATAACAACTTATGAGTTTGGGGGACTCAGATATTCTTTCCATACAGAAGCAAGAGAAAAACAGTGCCTTGGATTCCTCGGACATTGACCTTCACTTCCAGAGGGCCTTCTTGTATACTGATCTAGTACTCTGGCACTTAGGCATTGCGTAAAGATAGACTATGAGGAAGGCTCGCACTAACGATACCAAGTTGAAAGTTTTAATTACTGGGAATCAAACTAGAATTCTCTATGTACAGTATTCATAGTACAGAATCAGCCCTTGGGCAGTAGGAAATTCTGAGCACACTAGAGGTAAAGCTAAAATAGTGCTTTAAATTGTAGCATAAATATGATGTTGTGTTTTGTTCTTGAACCAAGCAATTGTTCAAACTTAATTTGTGTAAACTTAATTTGATAGGGTGGCTGACAAAATATTTTTTGAGCACACTAGAGGTAAAGCTAAAATAGTGCTTTAAATTGTAGCATAAATATGATGTTGTGTTTTGTTCTTGAACCAAGCAATTGTTCAAACTTAATCTGTGTAAACTTAATTTGATAGGGTGGCTGACAAAATATTTTGTTTAATTGATAGTGCCAGGGGTCTTTTCTTTATTCTTCCTCATTTCAATATTGCTGAGATATTTAAACAAATATCACATATTACCCAAAAATTCTTTTGTGAAAATTTTATTACATTCAGAAATTGACAGAAAGTTTAAAGAACCCATAAGTACGCATCTCTGAGATAGCAGAATTTACACCATATCATGTCAACTCTATCATGTGTCCATCTCTCCACTCGTGTCTCACCACATATCACCTTTCCCATGCATTTCAGACTAAAATGAAGATGTCAGTGCAGTTCACTCCTGGATAATGTGGCATATATTTCAGACCATCATGCTGAAAGCCAATGTCACAAAAGATAAGATGATTCAGAGTCACTTTAGATCCTGGACACAGAACCAGGACATTAAGAAATCAGACAAGGGAAAAACAGAGACACTGAAATGATGTACACATAGGGAAAGAATGCTTATAATGTGGAGACACTGTGTACAGAGACTGGAGAGAAAGGAGAGTGGAACATCTTAAAATTACCTGTTGCTCAATTTAGAGTGTAGGGCAGATGGAACCATGGCCCATCAGATGCCACGCCCTTGGCACGTGTGGAAGATGGAGGGCGTGGTGAGCTGTGTGAACAGTACAGGGGTGTGGGGATGAGAATAAAAGGATCACGCAGGATTTCACAGAGGAGGGAGCAGTGACCCACTTCTGATTCTCCTTCATGAGTCAGGGACTCCATAAAGATCTTCTGGGTAGCTCCACACCTTCTCAGGAGGCAGGAGTTACGGAGAGTTGAGCTCAGAGGCTCAGGGACAAGCTGGGGCCCCAGTCTGGCTATGTGTGTTCATGACCCGACTCCTCCCATTCTGCAGGTGTTAAAGAGCCATGGGCAAGACTACCTGGTTGGCAACAGGCTGAGCAAGGCTGACATTCTCCTCACTGAACTTCTCTACAATGTGGAAGAGCTGGACTCCACTGTTCTGGCCAACTTCCCTCTACTGAAGGTGCTCTCTCTCAAGTCCTTGTAGAGGCCTACACCTCCCATCAGGAATCTAACATCTAAACACTGGGGCTGGTGGTGTTCTGACTTCTATCCATCTCTAGGCTTCACCCTCCCTTCTTTGGGCTCTAAAAAATCTTCTAGGCCCTGGTTCTGAGGAAAGAAAAGAACCTTGCTATACAAGGAATTTTTGAGGTGTATGCTACTCTAAGTATATTTGGTTTTGTATCATAAGTGAAACCAAGGGCCCAGCTTTCTCCTCCCAGCCCCTATTCCATTTGGGTTCTGACCATGACTTCCTTGGGAATCCCTTTGTTCCATGTATGCCCTTGTCTTTCCATGTTGAGAAGGTCTCCTTCCATCTGTTTTCCTTCCTCCCCCTCAGGTTCCCAGCCTCAGACATTATATTTCACTCTACAAACCTCACCCCCAACAATCCCATCTTTATCTCTCAGTGTGATAATTTGTAGTGACTGCCACCTGGATTTGCTGGTCTCTTTCTATCATTGTTTCTAACTCAGTTTTCCCATATCTTCTTTTCACTCTGTTTGAGTGATTCTTTTAGCCCACATGTGACAGGCACATGTCACCTATTTTTTCTTATATCATACAGTAGCAATGAATCTGCAGGATTAAAGTGTAAGGCAAATGAGAAGAATGCTGGAATGGAATACAGTTTTAAAGAGAAGTTGGGGAAATTGACATTGAGCTTTATTTTCTAGCTCTTATCTTTTTTTTCTCATTCAATGTGTTTCCCAGCCAGCATACTGTGCTGGTGGAGGGATTCATACTTCCTGATTTTGTTAATGGGTGTTGGTTTGGGCTCCACTCTGAGGTTGTGTTCTGCATTGCAGGCCCTGAGAACCAGAGTCAGTAACCTGCCCACAGTGAAGAAGTTTCTGCAGCCTGGCAGCCAGAGGAAGCCTTTGGAGAATGAAGAATCTGTAGAAGCAATAAAGAAGATTTTCAGTTAAATGAGGCAGACATGGAGACATAGCACTTACAATACTGGGCTTTATCCAAAAGATGATCTTGATTACTAGGAGGCTAATAAAGTTTTCCAAAGTTTATGTGCTAATTTAGTTAGAAATGAACTATGTAGTCTTCTTTGCAATGTAGTTTATTTGGTTTTGGTCAAGTTGATAATCATGATCATCTTCTGGGATATCTTTTTAAATTTAAATAGAGAGAGAAACTTTCTTAGGCTCTGATTTAATTTTAAAAATGTCTTACAGCATCTGTCATGTACTATCTCAAAAATTAAACTACAGCTAGGCATGGTGGTAGCAATTTTCCTCTGACACTCTAGCTTTTGCAAAAATATCTTTTTTATGTTTTGCTACCTTTCTCACCAAAATACACAAAAACAACTTATAAAGAACCATTTCTTTCTACTTTTCCCCTGTTTATTCAGTCTATATTTATGTCCAGCATAAAATATTCTGTGTTCCTGGAGCCAGACATCAATGATGAAAAAACCTGATACATTCTCTACATCATGGCAATGGTTCTAGTGAGAGAAAGAAACAAAAAAAAATAGATAAACCTAATCTAAAATCATATATACCATGTGTACCACCTTCCTAAGACTGCTACAAGAAATTCCTACAAACTTGGGGATTTTAAATAATGAAAATTCATTTCCTCAGAGTTCTGGAGCTAAGTCTAAAGTCAAGCTACAACTGTTCTATGGTGTCTCTGAAGGCTTTAGGGAAAGATCCTTTTTAGCTTCTTCCTAGTATCTGATAGGTGCTGGCAATTCTTAAAAGAGTTTTTGGGAAAAAAAAATAAAAATGTCACAACACTCTAATCTCTGCCTTCATGGTCACAGGACATTCTCCCTGTATATGTTGTGTGTCTAAATTTTCCTCTTCTTACGGGGAAAACAGCAGTTGGATTAGGAGCCACCCTTATCAGTATGACCTCAACTGAATTATTTCTGCAGAAACCCTTTTTCCATATAAAGGGTTAGGACTTAAGCTGCCTTTTGTGAGGACATAACTTCTCCCAAAACACCATGCTCAGATAAGCTAATGCTGGGAGTTCACCATCAGTAGACATCAGCTGGGATCTGCAGATGAGACAAGGTTTCTCAAGGAGAGGAGTATATCACTCTGAGGTGAGATGAGCAGGAGGGACAATCAGTATGCATGGGTGGCACCAGCACTGGGCAGCAGGGGGTAGTACCCAGGCAGAGATCAGCACAATCAATGGCCAAGAAAAGAGGCCAAGCGTCAAGTGTTTGAGGAAAGAGAACACAGCTGCTTTCAGGGGATCATTAAACCTTAAGACAGGAACAAGTGACCCTGAGGGGACATCAGGAACAGGTCTCAGAGTATGGAGTAAAGACTTTGAAGACCATAGGAAAAAGTTAGATTTTGTGGTGAGGAAAATAGAAAGTCATAGAATAAACCCACACACCTTATCTTGCCAACGTGACATAAAATCACATTTTAAAAACTGTTCTTTAAAGTAACTCAGAACAATGACATTTTCCCCCACTGAGAGTCCCTTATCCATGTTGAAAGATAAGTTTAGGCACATTCGAATTTTAACAGGTTTATTTCAGTAGACATAAATTCATGTATCTAGCATTAACAAACCAGAATGATTAGGCCACTACCCAGGTAGACGTGAGAGGAAATCTTTATAAGGTAATTATGGAAACAAGAAAAGGAAAACATTTGTTTGGTTAAAGTGTAAAATCGCTGATTAGATGTCAGTTGTCAGTTTCTGATCAGATGAGATTTAGTACACCTTCCTGACGAGTTGGGTTTCGGTTTACATACATGAGAGTCAGGGACCTGGAGCTCTCTCATCCTAGTGGCCTCTCAATTAACCATTCTAAATACCACATTAAATCCAGTAGCCTGGGGGTTTACTCCATTCCAGGAATCAAGGAGCTCAGAGACTAATACCTGAACATCTGAATGGTCCTCTGCTTCTGTCTCCACATACTGCCCCGTCGTCTCAGAGGCTTCCTGATCTGAGGCTTGGTCAAAACATTGTCCACCACTTCTCCACCTGAGCAGGAGCATTCCCATGCTCCACGTGAAGGGAAGGAAGAGGAGGTCTCCTTCAAGTCTGCAATCTCAAAATATAGGTTGAGATGCGTAGTTATTTGTCCTACGGCAAGCCCATGGGATCTAGGGAATTGAATCTGGGGCTGTGTTACACCTAATCATTTTTTTAGTGTAAGCTTCCCCACAGATGGCTCATACTTTAAAAATATTTATTCAATATTGGGTCAGCTGAGAGCAAACCAGATGCTCCTTCCTAGACAGCTTCCTAAAGTGTTTCCAGTTCCCTTTGCACATTTGCCTGCTTGCTCTCACCTGGAGACTTTTCAGGGAATTAAAGGAAAGCCTCTGTTAAAGGTCTTTTCAATAGTATATTCTCAATCTGCCTTGGGGACAGAACAAAGGTATTTTGCATGGTGATGTACATGAGTCTTTGGGGGGGTCTGAGGCAAAATTCTACATTTTAAATCTGGAACGTCTCTCAAAAGATTGTTTTTAAGGCCTATTCCTCAGCTTGGCACTTCTAAAGTTGGTAGAGATCTTTTAAAATTATTTATTTATTCTAAATACATGACAGCAGAATGTATTACAATTCATACACATATAGAGCACAATTTTTCATATCTTTGTATAAAGTATGTTCACGCCAGTTCATGTCTTTCTACACATACTTTCTTTGCATTACAATTCTTATTACACATACATAGCACAATTTTTCATATCTCTGGTGGAAATCTTTAGAAGGGGGACTTTTACCTCCCTGGAGGTGTGGCTTTCAAAAGGATTGTAGGAAGCTCATCACTTCCCTCCCCTCACCCCACCTTCTCTCTCTCTTTCCTTCTTGGAAAATCCTGAAGTGAGCAGTTTTCCTCTGACACGTGTCCTTGCCAGCCATAATATACTGGCCCACCACAGGAACAAAAACAAAAAGGCCCAATGAACACTGACTGAAACGCCTGAAACTGTGAGCCAAAATAAACCTTTCCTATTTTAAGTTGATTATCTCAGTTCCTTTGTTACAGAAAGGGAAGCTGACTAACACACTCTAGAACAAAGATTTTTTTTTTAACTCATCAGATTCAGCACTCCTTAGCTTATTACATACATTAAGAATTTATTTTTATCCTGGAGTGAATTTCCTAAGATTTACTTCATTGCTCTTTGTGCTGGGAATACAAGATTGAGGAATGCATAATAAGCCACAAAGAAAAAACTGAACACAGGAACATTTTATAAAAAAATCACAAAGTGACTGGATATTTGACAGTGATTTATGACTGATTGGCTCCACAACTTTATCCATCTTTATCTGACACATCATTTATATTAGTTAGAAAATAAGAAGAAATATATTTTTAATTTATGGCACATATGAAGATTTATATATCATATTTATCACAACAGATGTTAAATATTTTTAATGTTTCTCCTGGTAGTTTGTGATATAAAAATATAAAGAAATCAACATTTGTTTTTTAATCTTTATATCATCCACCATTTTCAACGAGAGGCTATATGTATGTATATTTGAGGTAAAAGTGGATGTCAACTTATCTGACTGAACTAGGAGGATTAGTTTAAGATGTGAGGAAATATGTAGGCTAACTTTTTAGTTTTTCAAAATATCTTGAAGAACAAATGTATACTAGCAGTATTTGCCCCATGAAGAAAATGGGTCTTGATATTTATTTACTTATTTGCCCCATGAAGAAAATGGGTCTTGATATTTATTTATTTACTTACTTACTTATTTTTGTGGTACTGGGGATCAAACCCAGGACCTTGTGCAAGTGAGGGCAAGCACAGTACCAACTGAGCTATATCCCCAGCCTGAAAACAGGTTCTGAAAGGAATATAATCTATATTAACTCCAGTAGTAAGTTAAAGGAGTTATATCTCTTTGGTGGTTCTGGTATCATGGGGACGGGGTGATATTAGCTATATTTCTAATAGCTAGAAGAAAGGCTATACTTCCATTTGGAAGTATGTGTACTTGGTGGATTGCTTAGTCTTTAAGTCTCGATTTTCTCTGTTTTAAATAGAGATGGTTATGTTTACCTTTGTGGGCTATTGAGAAATTGCAATGAAGTAGAATATGCACACTCAACAATAGGGACTCAGTACGTGGATGTTCACTCTTTCTCCAGTTCCTAGGAGATGAGTGTGCAGCTGAGCACATTGGGTAGCCCATGAATCCTTTGTCTTTCCATCCATCCAACCATTCATCCATCATGTTCTATTCATCTTCTATCCATGTATCTATCTCTATCTCTGTTTTGTCCATAAAACTCCAGAGCAATTTCCATGAATCAAGAGATGATGATGGCTATTGGAAGCAAGGTACCAGTCTGGCTTGGTCTCTGACCTGAAGGAGTTTAAATCTAGTCATCAACACACCATTATAGGATACCAGACAGATCAGAATGAGTCTACTTTATGGGTTTCTGGAAATTCCAACACAAGAACCCTGATTCTGCTCACCAGGCAAGTCAGCACAAGGGGAGAATCCTGCCAGCCTCAGAGAACTGAAGACCCTTCCCCTTCTCCCCATGGGGATTGCTAGGTACCAGGTTAAAATCTATATATCTCCAGACTGAATGAATTTTGCCCCCCAGGTGTCTGCTTCCTACCTTTTAAAATAGGGTCACAGCTCTTCCTTCTCTAAACCCTCTCTGCAGCCTCTTGCAACATGCTTTTCTTCATTACCATTTCAGTATCTTCTCCCAGAGGTGCTGCACTATGTCCTGTGATTCTGGTAGACCCTGGTTTCTCTGACACCTGGATTTTCAGACACTCTCCCTGAAACTCAGTCTCTCCTTTATAGAAACTTTCCTTCTTCTCTATATTAACATTATTGCAGGGCATTGCTGGCTTTTAAATTCCAGTTCTTAATGACTCATGCCTTCCAGCTAAGTGTTCATGTGCTTTTAAAACTATTACACGCTCCAGTGATGGTCTGGTGTTTGCATGTAGACTTCTGAGTGTTAGCACTTGGGAAGTCATGTCTCCCAAGGATCCTCAACCAGGTGTAGTGCTGCTCTGTTAGCGCTGAGTATGGTGGGCAATTGTTTGTTTGGCTGTCACATCCTGGGAATTTGAAAAGTGCTACGGCATCCGTTGAGGCAGGGCCAGGATGCTTCTAAATATTCTACAATGAGAAAGAGAGTCCCACTCAGAAAGATTTACACAGGCCAAACAGGAAGTCCTGCCAAAGATGAGAAAAGCTGCCTTAACCATTCTAGTTTAAAAAAAAAAAAAAATTTGCTATGAGATGGTGAACCCCAGAAAGAAGGTGAGACTTTTCATCTGGTTAATTAGTAGCAAGTTCACAACAGAATCTTATTTTCCTGGCATACAAACTAAATTTATTTCTGTGAT